ATTCGGTGTAGAAATAGTTCATTATTCCCCTCAAGTAGCTCTAGTATTTGATCCTCTTCGATATTTTAAATACTTGCAAACGTACTCTCCAAATGATTGCGAGAATGTCATAAAGATGTCCATACCGCATGTTACCCTATCGCATACTAACTATCGTTCTCTTTCACTCTCACATTATAAATATTTATACACTTCTTACAACTCTTACGACTCTTGGTTAATTTTCATATAAAGGTAGGAATACTATCTAGTTACACGATAAACACCCCCCGAGTATACATATACATATGTAACGCAGTTAAAATTTGAATTACTCAAGACTCGCACTACGTACGACAGCTACTCTTAATCTATTTCCTTATCAGGCGATAAGTTTATCTCGCTCCACGAATGTTACGCTTTTTGCTCCCGTAAATACTGAAACTAATTACGGGTTCTCAATTTAATTCGATTCATTATCGAAGATCTAAGCTTTGGTTAAGAGGAAGAGGCGTAAGAAGTATAAAATATGAATATTTTCCCCTCGTAATTTTTCCTCGAACGGAGAACGATTCACGTCCGCAAAATCCACTCGTTGTACGCGCGTACCGATTTGGAAATCGTACTGCTTTCCATAAGAGACGCTTCGCGCGTTTGCGAACGCATACCCATTTAACCGAGCGCCCATACTCGCCGCGATTGTGCATAAGCGCACGGCAACAACGACGAGAGGAGCTCGGGAGGAACGAGCCAAGAAAATAAATATTAATAACGATGCTTTCCCTCTCTCTCTCTCTCTCTCTCTTCCCGACGCGCTTCCCTCGTTGCAACTAGACTGCTCTTTTCCCTTCCCCTCCGTCGCGTAGACTCCCACTGTCTCTCTCGCTCACCAAGTGCGCGTCTCGTGCATTGTTAGGGCCATTACGGGAGCCAATTAATCTATGCACAATTTTATAATTAAACGGCTAATAGCGCATGGAATTATAGTCCAGGGCCGCTCGCACTCCCACGTATCCTACAGCGTTCGTGGGTTACGCGTATACGTCGCGACACGCGCGTTTAAGGGGGTAGAAGCAAGAAAAGGAGGAACGAGCAGAA